GGGGGGGGACACACGAGGAGGGGAGGGGGTCACAGGGTCACATTCAACGTTCTGAGACTTTATTTGATGCAGTGGAGCAATAATTTAGCCGATGGGGCCGAGGGAGGGCTGGGGGCATCAGGGGAGGGGGTGGGACACGGGGGCAGTGGGGACGTGGTGGCGGTGGCAGGAAAATGAGGAAAAAGGCACAAAACTGAGTGGGTGGGAGGGGACACGGGGGGGGTGGGGGGAGTCTTCAGCCGCTCAGCACCATCCGGACCAGCTCTGTGGAGAGAAGAGAGAAGGGTGAGGAGGAGTCTGGTGGCCCCCCTGTCCCTAATCCCGGAGAGAGGCAGGAAAACCAAAGTCAAACGGCTGAAGAGCGCAGGGAGGACCCGGCGTCGCCACAGGGGGGGAGGGAGGGGGGGGCTCCTGCAGCCCCCCCAGAGCAGCACCCACGTCCCGGCCCCGGGGGCTCCATGCAGAAGGACATGCGAGGAGGGGGCAGCAGAGTTGGGGGCTGCACCAAAGGGCGAGAGCGCAAACCAGGCGGCCTTTTTTTTTCTTTTTTTTTAAATTAAAAAAAAAAAAGACACCAGGGCAGGGCAGGAAAAAAAAAAGGAAGGAAAAAAAAAATACTGGAAGTAACTGAGGGAAGGGGCGGGGGGGAGGCGTTACCCCTGCGGCGTCACCCTGACAAGATGTGTCTCACAAACGCTGGGAGGAAGGAAGGAGACATGATGGTCAGGGAGGGAGTGTGGTCACGGACAAATCCCCCCCCCCGGGACCCCCAGCACCCCCGGGACTCCCCTCCCGCCCCCAGCCCTCACCTTCGTAGTTGATGCAGCCGTTGCTGTCCTCGTGCCCGGCCACGAGCTGCTCCACCTCCTCCTCCGTCATCTTCTCACCTGTGAGACACTCGTGTCACCCCGGGCCGAAGGGGACACACCCCGGGGGTCCCCAGGCCTTGCTGGGGGTCCCGGGGGTTGGCTGGGGGCTTGTGATGATCCCAGGGCTGGGGGGAGCTGACTGGGCTTTGGGGGTGCTCAGGGATGGTCCCTGAGGGG